TGAACCGTGACAATCAAACTGTGATCACGAATGTGAGCAGCTCAAAGGATAACATGAAGTCATCAAGACACGCTCAGAGAAGGTTAAAGTCTGTCAAAAAAATGAAAAACTCTGGAGTTATTGCATTGGATTATGTCCAAACGTCTAAAAATCTGGCAGATTCTTTTACTAAGGGTCTTTCACACAATGTGATAGATAATGCATCGAGGGAGATGGGTATGAGACCCACAATATGAGTTGTTCATAGTGGTAACCTATTCTTTGTGATCGGAGATCCCGTGAATTAGATGTGGAAGACAAGCTGTTGGTCAACTGAGAGGAGAGTATCCTTACTATTCACAAGACCACTCCACAATACTCTCCTAATCTGCATGGCAGGTTGATGTATATCTTAATGTGTTCTAAGTGGCTCATTTAAGCAGAGATGTTGTCCTGCAGAACATCTTTTGAAGAACACACCTATATGAGTCTGATTGTCAAACATCGCAATCTATGAGAGTAGGGTTCTCTCTAGTAAACTCATGAAAGGTCACGGAGTATGACGCATAAGCTCCACCCGCGGGGAAGACCCACGGTAGCCACGTATCGGTCAACGCTTATGTAAAGCTAGATCCGTAGAAAACTTGCAGTTCAAGGCCCAGTCCACTGTTCAAGTTGCTTATTAGTGTATCATAGAGTTCTAGGTGGAAATTCAACTTAATAGTCTCCACTGCAGTACCGGTATATAAAACAGTATTTTGGAACTAAAGGCAATTTTGTGTGCCTCTAGGATCTGGTGGGGGATTGCTGAAATTTTGTCTACTTTGGGCCTAGACCAATAGCAGTTTCAGAAATTCTTAATAAATCCTAGAGGCCCACGCAGCCCATTCGTGCAAGGCAAGAGGTGGAACTAAAGTTTAGTCCCATATTGCTAGTTTACAGGGAGTTGGACCTTTCTAAAAGGGAGGTTCTTTCCCCACTAGTATGAGCATGAGAACAAGAGGGACATCTACGCGTGCTCTTCCTCCGCCGCCCGCCTCGCCACGCCAGGCCTCGTCACGACGCGTCGCGGGTTGCGGGAATGAGGCAAGCCGATGTCTAAATTTTTACCACGCACTACGGGTATAGAAAAGGTCACATGGAAGCTGAAAAGATTTTTGCGAAAGTGGGGTTCGAATGCGAACGGTGCAGCCCTTTGACTGCTGGCGGTTCGCTTCATCTCCGTCTCGCTGCCCTCTCGCCTCCTTCTCTTGCGCCTATAAAAGGGAGGTCGCTCCTCCCAGAGAGACGCACCAGAACCTCTTCTTCCTCTTGCCACAAGTTCCTGAGCACTGCACTGCTGCTATGTTCTTCCCCATCCCTGTTTGCGGCGTGCACCGCGGGTCGGGACAGTAGGCCTCTGAAACCGCACCTTTTGAGTCATGTACGGGAGAAGGGTGATAAGGTTTTTGGGGAGCGCTCAGCGCGACTACTGACTTCTTCGTCACGGACGCCCCAGACTCCGACGACTACTTCCCCGACGATGACTTCTTCCCCGACGTTGACGGCCTTCTCGACGACATGGTTGGCGACGACGCCGACCCCAAGTCCAGTGCTACTCCTGCTGCTATCCCGCACGTGTTCTTGCTCTTTCTGTTAGAAGTTCTCTCGCAGTTCTTTGCTCTAGTGTCTATCCTACATATGTTAGGTTCTACGCTATCTATGCAACATGTTCTACTATCTGCTTTAGACATGTTTGGTTGCAGTTCATATATGAAGATATTATTTACCTTCTCTTTGTCAGATCGCATGACTACTTTTATCCATGTTATATTAGTCATAATTTATCTAATATTTCAATTAATAAAATCATTTGGTAAATTGCTCATATTTCCAACATATTGTTTATAAGTTTAGATGAGAACAAATAGAGTAGCAAACCATTCGGCTTTATAAAGTCATGAAAAATGAAGCACTGTTGTGTGCCTTGGTTAAAGACCTTATTGTGTAGAGCAGGTATTGCCTCTTAATGTAACCCTATCATTATTGAACAGAACTCCCTATTCACCGCAAAACAAAAAGGATGTCCAAACTTATAATTACAGTCATATTAAGGACAGTATAACCGCACGTAATCCTTGCCCTCACAACGATTTGCATTCTCGGCCGTCCGTTCTCGTGATCTATGTGTTTCTGGCCGTCAGATCTCCATTGAAAAATGTTCTGTCCCGCATTGTGTGTAACCTGGCCCAACTGTCCTGTGGGCTGTTGCTCCAGGGGGCGAAATGTAGGCCTCTAGTAAACTGGGACGTCAACCAGCCCATTTCAGCTCTTCACCAACACATCCAGCCCAACCGCCGCCGATAGAGAGAGAAGGATGAAATATGTTTTCTCTCATTCTATTCGTCATTTTTTCCTTCTCGAGACGGAGGCAAAGGCTTTGCCTCATCTGTTAATCAAACAAAATATAATTACCTAGTTAATTAGTGAAAAACTAGACGAAAACCGATACAACAAGTGCCAAGCCCACTCTCACACACTGAAGCACACATGGCTAAGCTCACTCTTGCCGACAACATGTCGAACACACAACTTCCACCGTTGCTGGAAAGAAGAATCCATGACTACTATATGAGGAGCAACCATGGGACCCTCCCGCAGAAATTAAGGGCAACTCCAACGGGGCGACCCAAACGGACACGGATTTTGTCCGTTTTTTGTCCGTTTGGGTCGCCCGTCCGCGTGTCCGCGTCCGCTTTTCTGTTTGGGTCGGTCGGTGTGCCCAACGGGCGCGGGATGCATTTTTGACATGTCTGTGTTATCATTTCGTCAAACACTTGGAGGGCGAGCTCCCGCGTCACCTCGCCCACCGCAGCTCGCCGCGCCAGCTCGCCGCCGCCGCCGCAGCTCGCCCCGACCCTGCTGCTACGGCGCCGCAGCTCTTGCCCGACGATCCAAGGACGGGCACGGCCGGGCGCGATGAGGCGAGGACGGGCGCGACCGGGTGCAGCGAGGCAAGGCCGGGCGCAGTTGGGAGCGGCGATACGAGGCCGGGGCGAGGCGAGGCCGCGGCGAGTCGACGACGGGCGAGGCGGAGTGAAGCCACAGCGGGGCGCGACCAGCGGCGGCTGGCTAGCACACGCGCGACCAGCGGCGACAGGCATCAGCACCAGCATGCACGCTGGCAGCGGCGGCTAGCTAGCTAGCTAGCACACGCGTGGCCAGCAGCAACACCCGCATGCATGCTCCACCAACGGTGGCTAGCTAGCTAGCTAGTACGCGCGTAGGACAGCAGCGACGAGCTACCTGGTAACGTTCGGGATCGGGCGGAGGAGCTGCCCCGGCATGCACTTCACGACGGCGAGCTGGCTCCTGGGCAAGGAGCTCCGCCGACTCGTGGCGCCGGGCGAGCGCGTCAACGCCTGGAGCTGCGGCGTCCATGGCCTACTCCGAACCAGGCACGACCGGGCACGCGACGAGGAGCAGTTGGGTGAGCACGGGGAGGGCCGGCTGGGCGCGACGCGGGGCGCGGTGGCGCTCCGGCTCGAGCATTTGTGACGCCTGGGCACGAGGGGAGGGGAGGCGAGGCGAGGCCGACTGCCGGCGTGGGTGTACGGGTGCTCGTGGGCTAGGCAGAGAAAAAGGAGGAGAGAGATGAGAGGTGGTGAGTCTGTGCCAGGTGGGCCAGCCTCGCATGCAGCGGACGAGGAGGACGCAAAGAGCGCCCGTTTTGTGTCCGCGCGGACCCAATTTGCGTCTGAAATGGGTCCGCGCGAACACAAAGCGGACAGAAAATAGAAATGAGTCAGCGCGTTGGGCAGTGTATTTTGTCCACACGGATCCAAATGGACATGCGCGGACGAAATGGGTCCGCCCATTAGAGTTGCTCTAAGGGCATGCACTTCATATGGCCCGCATCCTTGATATGTCAACGAGCGACATCGAAGGCAACCTTGCCACCCACACAACACGAAGCTGAAGCTCTCGAAGCTGCAAAGTCTCGGAGCCGCCATCATCCACCGCTTCGTTGCACCCTGCACGGTCAACCGACACCACCTTTCGGGGCCGCTGCCCCAACATACCACCGCTCACTCTCAAGCTACAACGTTGCATGACCCGGCCGCCCGCAACCCACGCTGCACAGGATGATCGCCCGCAGACCAGGGCCGCCGCACCACTCCGGGGTCCTCTTATTCGTTTGAATATGTGTTTTCCATTCTCTGTTCACCTGGGTGATTGGACTTTGCACAAGTGCTGATCCATCGACAGATTAGCTGCACGGCCGCACCCGACGATCCGGCGTCCTTCTGAAGTCTTAACGCGACCGGGGAGCCGGGCATATAACTCGGGCCAGTTGAGGCGTACAGGCGCATAAATGGGCACTGGCTCGCTTGGCAGGCACGACTCGAGCACCACTGATCCGGCGGCCAAAATGCGTCGTATGGGCAGTTTTAATGAGGCACGGAGATAAGTCAATGAACCATATATGGCTCATACTCTGCACCCGCGGCATGTGACGGCCTTTACGCCCCGCCGGAATCTTTTAATTCGAGATTTATATGCGCGAGCGAACCCGGAGAAAGAAAAAAAGAGGTGGCGTGCAACGCACACCGACGACAGGGCTGCACCTGTACGGAAAATGCAGAGGCATGCGGTTTGGACTTCTGGATGATCACTTTTTTTTTGGATACAAGTGTGGGCGATCACGTTTTTCTTTTAGGTGCAAAAAATTGAGTCTGGACGTTCACGTGCTCTGATGTGCTTCACGATTCGCACAGCGGGGGGCAGCGTGCTCCAACTTTTTTTTCCCGTGGTCCATCTGAGCGATGGTAGGCCCAATAGAGTTGGGCTCACTATGGGCTAAGGTGGGCCGATTTAAGGGTCTTTTCTGGCCAGGGGACGCGTATACCGATTAATTTCCGCTTCGAGGAAAAGAGGTTGGAATTCGGAAAAGAAAAAGGAGAGGCGACGGGGTGGAGCAGCAGGGGGAGAGAAAGTAGTGGCCTGGGCGTGCTCCGCTCGCGCGACGAGGGAGGGAGGCGATGGAGGGCGCCCCGAGGGCAAACACGCGGCGCCGCCGGCTGGTCGAGAGGGGATCAGATCGCCTGGCCTTCATCACCGGCCAGACGCGCGACCTCCCCCCCGACCCCTACCCTGGTAACCGCCGCCACAGGGGTCCGATTTCTAGTTTTGGGGTGTATCCAGATCGACTACCTGTTGCGTTCACGTCAGATTGATTGGGCTAGATTGTAGCCGTGTTTAGGAATTGACCATCGAATTCAGTTTCGGGGGATTTTTCCCGGTTTATGCGTTGTAGGGCTATTCGATTAGTTGCTAGATTTAGAATATCTGGTGCCAGGTACAAATCATGGATTGCAGGTTTCCTACCGCGGAATCTTACGTTTCTGGATCATGCACCGTGCGAATTTCGTAATTTAGAGTGTTGGAAGCGGAGATTATGTTGGATGCATACCCTTGTTCTTCTTTAGATATTTTCTCTGCCTAATAGGACGCGAATTTGTGTTGGTATATGGCCAAACCATTCATGGGGAGCTTCTACCTGAAGTATTGATGGTTCTTTCGGGGAATTGGTTAGAAAACTTCACATCACTGTATTTTGGCGATTATTAAGGTGCGTTGGTACATACTATCGCTTAAACCATCTCATGAGCACTGCTCATGAGAACCTTCTCCCCAAACAAGGAAGTATTGAGCATCGTTGCATCAGCTCATTGAGCACGTCTCCATGACTCTTCTTAGAAGAGTTGCGATTAAGAGATTCCTCTATGTTGCATCTTAATCAGATAATCCTTAATCAGTTATCAAACTGCCCTTTCCTATGTTTTTGCTAGTTTTATGAGCAACTCTTTGGGTCTTCTATCACAATGTTGTCTTCGACCCACTAGATTGCTTTCTGGTCCATAATTCTCCCTGCCTGTCCCTTGTAGCCTCGCAATGAGCACACGATTACTTTCTTACGGACTCCTTGCGTTCTTATTTCGTACCTTATTAGTTGATGCCAGTTGAACCATTTGAATGCTCTTTGCCTTATTGCATACAAATCTGCCTAAATGTTAAAACATACCCTATGGCTTCTTAACCACCATGTGATCAAAGTAGTTGCCATCTTGCAGATTCACCGGTTGCCGAGCCCCGTCTACAACCCAAGCATAAGAGCCACAGTAGCGAAGGCGACCTACTCCACAAATTCAACGCAAGCAGCGCAGTTTCTGAGATCCAGCCAGTATATGAGCCGCCGTTGCTGCGGAGCCGTGATGATGAAACCCTCAACAAGAGGACTTATGATTATGGAGCAGCAACTGTGCAGCCTAAGAGGGACATGGAAATGAGACCCAGATCTGTGCCTCCGAGGGACATGGGATCTGTGCCTCCGAGGGACATGGAAATGAGACCCAGATCCGTGCCCCCAAGCCAGCCTAACCAAGCAGACGACTCATCTTGGTCTCTGGAAACTCTGAAGCAACTCGTGGATTTCACGCCGCAGGAGATCACCCAGGCCATCTCAGCCACAGAGCTCAACCGCTGCTTAGCATCCATTCTCATCGCCTTCATTGTGGTTCTTTCGAACTGGGGGCTGGACGTTGGTGGCACCATCAGCAGAGTACTGGTTTGCACAAGGCCGCTCCTGTTCCTCATCATAACGAACGTAACCATCGTCATGTCGTTGCTGATGGAGAACAGGGACCCCAATGCGAGGGGCAGACAGGCCGGCATCAGCCTTGGTTCTGATGGCTTAGGGCTGATGCTGGAGCTCGGGATGCTGCTACAGAAGGCGTCTGAAGCTATGCTGATGGACTTCAGCATTTGCGCTGTCATCATGATCTGTTTTCTTTGATTCTGAACACCCTGGTCATGTTTTCTTGGATTCTGAAGAGAATTTAGATAGTTTGCGGAAGCGCATGTAGAATTTCTTTTTTCTTTTGTTGCTATATCGTACTCTTATGTCTATTTATCTGATCTTGTAACATCGTCTCTGGCTGGATTTTGATTTACTTTTGTACCACTGTTTCGTTTGTATATACGCTTATACAGTTCACTGGGACCGAGTTCATCCAGGATTCCAGGCCTAGTATCTTCCAAGAGATTTTTACTTGCGTAATACTCCCTCCATTTTTATTTACTCTGCATATAAACATTTATTATAACAAATCTATATGATGTGAAAGTACATTCAATAATGAAATGAATTTAATGGTATTGATTTTTATTGTATATATATTAATATTTTTCTTTATAAACTTTGTCGAAATTTACAAATGTTGACTTTGACCAAAACTAATACGCGGACTAAATAAGAATGGAGGGAGTATTGTTCTGTGTGTATTTATACACTTGTAATGTTGTACTATTCGTTGTTGTATGGGGGATCCATCACTAATGTGTGGATTATCAGTTTATCGGCCAGAAAACATTCTAAACATTTCTTCTGAGAAATTCTTTTCTTGCTATGATACTCTGATGTCTATTTATTGGATCTTGTAACAACCTCGGAATTTTGATTTACTGTACTATTGTTTCGTGTCTACATACAGTTCACTGGGACCTTTTCGCGCCTTTTTTTCGTATCTTTATACAACTGTACACAAGTCTTGCACGTGTATGTAGACCGTCAATTTAACTTATATAAAATATATTGTTTAGCATAAAAATTCTATCATTAGAAAATAGAATATCTAATGTCTTTAATGATATTTTTTTTGTAATGTATGCATCTTATTAAGTTGATCAAATTAACGACCTAGGTATATGTGCAAGACTTGTAAACTGAGATAAAGAGAGTATTATTTTTAAGCATGTCTCTCTTTTGTGCAGTAGTAATAATAACAATAATAATAAGACCGTAGTTGGAGTATTCGTTGCTGGGTCGATTGATCTGAAGTTCCACCGTGGTCTGATTTGTGGATCGTCGATGTTACCACCGAGAAAATATTGTAAGCATTTCTTGTGGAAGAACAAAAATAAATATTGTCAATGCGATGCAGTCCACGCTCCACAGATCAGCTGAATGGCATAGAGACAATCAACGACGGAGGAGCTGCGGAAGCGGTGGGTTTTTTGTTTTTGTTTTGAGGCGTGACCGCTGTACGGCGGTGCGTTGCGACAAGAAGAATCCCTGAAAGGTTGGACGCTGACAAGTGTCGCGCACCAGTTACACACGTGCCGTTTATGGCACAGAGAAGTTGGCCCGAGGACGAAACACATGCCCCAGATGCGTGCGTGTCCACCACCGGCAACACGTGTCATTCACCTCCTGGACCGGAACACATGACTGTACAACATTATCCAGTCCAGCTACGACGGCAGCATGCCACAGAATCATAGTAAATCCATAGGAACAGTGACTAGACACGATCTTTTTTGCTACGTCAAACTCCATTAGTTCTAACAGACTCATAGTAAAATCTAGCTAGACACTAGTAAACCATTTGCTGGCCGGGAACCACAGCCTCCGTCCGCCCGAGCCAAGTTGTTCGTCAGAGTCTTCTTCTTAAGGCTAAGTCTAAGTACTAGTGGTAGTACAAAGGATTTATATAATGTACACGTCATCATGTAGTAACTAGGATAAGATTACGGCCACGGGAGTAGCGGCGACTGATTAAACAAGGGAGTGTGTCGCCGTCGACTTGGGCGGTCAAGGGGTGGTGATGTCGTGGATGCTCTTGCGCTTGGAGTCGCGCGTGGCGGCGTTGGCCTGGCGGATGAAGTACTTCTGCGCGTGGCTGGCCACCTGCGTCGGCGTCCGGCTCCGCACCGCGAACCGCGAGATGTTCCTCCAGTCCCCCCGCCCGTACTTCTCCAGCCCGTCCAGGAACAGCCTGCGCGCACACACACGCATCCACCAGAGGAGAAGAGTCAATCACGCTGTGTCGCTGCCACGCCGGGCCCACGCGCCAGCTGGGGCCGAGGAGGAGCTCGCTGGCTTCTCCGCGCCAACAACAAAGCGAAAGCGACGCGGAAAGATCGCCGGAAGAATCTCGATTCGAACCACCGCGAGCGGCGACGGTGATTGATGGCTGAGCAAAAGAGAAGGGCTTTCGGGTATGCGTACGTACTTGTGCTCCTCCTCGGACCAGGGTATGCCGCGCCGGCGCTCCTCGCCGCGGGCCTTGCCGGCGGGGCGGCCGCGGGAGGAGGCCACGGTGGCGCGGCCGTCGCCGTCGTCGTCGAAGTCCCAGCAGTCGGGCGTGTCCACGGCGCCGCGCTCGATGAGGTCGACGTCGGCGACGAGCGCCTGGTAGTGCTCCCAGGCCTCCTGCGGGGTGCGCCCCGGGAGCCGCGCCGCGACGCGCTCCCACCGGTCGGGCGCGTGGTCCGGGAGCGTCACCAGCGCCGCCTCGAACGCCTTGTCCTCCTCCTTGGCCCACGGCCTCCTCGCCGCCGGCGCGGCCTGCTGGTAGTACAGGTCCATGGCCTCCTCGCCTCTGCGTCTCTCTGGCCCTCCTCCCTGCGGCGACGACACGACACCCAGGCGCCAGGTGCGCGGCGCTGCGCCCATTAACTGGCGCGCGGGTCGGGGGTGGCGTTGCGTGTGCTCGTGGACGGGCTGGGCGGCGCCGTGTGGCTGTTTGGTTCGGTTCGTTGTGGCGCGTGGGAACGGTATTCTGCTTTATAAAGATCGGCGACGGGCGCGCCCATCCGGTGGGTTGGGTGGGGCCATTCAGCTGCGCGCGCGCGGGCGCACACGTTTTGGGCGTGCGGGCGGGCGGGCAGGCGCTCGGGTGCGGGTGGGGTGGGGTGGCGTGGCGTTCGATGGGTGACGCGTGTGGGGCGCTGGACAGCGCGGCCCCGGCGGTAAAGGTGAAACGGAGGTCGGCCGGCCGGCCGGGTGCGGGGAATAGAATATGGGGAGGCGGTTATTGGTTTGCTGCTTCCGGTGGATTTTCCTCGGCTCCCTCGCCGGGGTTGCGTTTCGCGTGCGACGTTTCGGTTTGTTTCTGGGGTTATCTGGAGAGAATGATGGGATGCAACTGATGATTGGCAACGAGAATTAAGTTCGGTTTGTTTAGGGGTTGTACCTGTAGCTCGAATCGACAGAGATTGCTGGTATGGGTTTATCCGAGAATTGAAGATTCTCATCTGCATCACGATTTTTATTTTTGGGACAACATTTTTTAGCAAGCATAAAATTTTTGTCTAGTTCAGGTTTTTTGCGAGGATTTGTAGTGCTTCACGAAGGGACTTGCAATCCTCATAACAATGGGATTTTTTTAGCTGAGAGCGACGACTTCTTCCCGGATGTCGACCACCTAGTCGGCAACATTACAAACGACGCACCTGCATGTTCTTTCACAACACTGTATAATCTCATTTTCCTCTCTATTAGGAATTGCATCTGGCCTACTACTTTTATCTATCGATATGGATATGATGTCCGTATGTCATGTACCCAATTGCATGGTTTCTTACATCACTTTGTTACTTGATGAGATTATCATCTATGTTATGATTACCATGTTTCATCTACCGCTTTAGTCGATTAAATATAATGGAAAAATCCTCAAATGTTCAACAATTCAAAAACCTGATATGTGTGGGCAATTTTCTTCAATTGCATTTGTCGCGACTCTCAAATGTGCTACATTTGAGGGGTAAATTATTTGAGGTGGTGTGCGAGGGCAGTTTTCTGGCTTACCAACATGAGTTGTTTTCACGCCTATAAGGGCAAGCCAAAGGAAGCGCTTACTCTCGAATAGGGGCAAACTTTCGATGCTACAGACACCCTCTTCAATCTTCATATGTGTCGTTCTGAGTGTTCTTGGCGGCAAGATTGTCAATCCCTTCATGACCATCATGGTTGGTAAGGATATGTGTGATGCTCTTGAGGCCAAGTTTGATATCTGGAACACAGGAAGTGAGTTGTATGTCATGGAGCAATATCATGACTATAAGATGACTGATGACCGTTGATGTCTACTACACAACTTTATTCTTGTAGATTTTATTGGACCTCCAAACGGAGAGCTATGTAGAACAATAACAAATTTCCCTCAAGTGGATGACCTAAAATCTATCAATCCGCAAGAGGTATAGGATGAAGGTGGTTATCTCTCAACCAACCCTGCAATCAAATATAAGTGGTCTCCTGTGTCTCCAACACACCCAGTATAACTGCCAGCTGTGTAGGTGCGCTACTTCAGCGAATAGATGGTGATATATGTGTAATATAGATGGTAGAAATAAGTTTTTGTAATCTAAATATATAAAAACAACAAGGTAACAAATAACAAAAATGAGTAAAACGCTGCCTCAATGCCTGAAAACAAGGCTTAGGGTTTGTACTTTCACTAGTGCCCTTAAAAAGTGCAGTAAAAAATCACTCCAAAATTTCTACTTTTATCGAAGAAAGTAGGATGCAATCACGTAGGTGGCTTAATAGCAAACCACACCAAATTCGTCTTTTCAATCATAATCTATTGAACCACCCCTATGATCGCCATAGGTAGTCCCAGAAATCATACCATGACAACACCATATGATACTATCGTTCAACTTGTGCATAGAGTACCCCAATGTCAATACGCGTATCCGCAAGTTAATTACTAGACATGCATCATGTAATCTCAAATTTAAAATGTTCAATACAACATAACAAAACTTCGAGGAGCAAGACTCAATTCAAAAATAATAGAGGGGGAAGCATCATATGATCCAACTATATTAACAAATCTCATGACACAATTAAGATAAAAATCTTTCAAGAACATGAGTTAGAGAGATCGAACACATAGTTACTAGTACATACCCACAGCCTCAAGGATGAACTACTCACACATCACCATGAGAACAAAGAGGGATTTTTTGGTGATGGTGATGAAGGAGATGTCCCCGGCGGCA